GCAAACCAGTGGCGCCTCTACCGGTATCCACACGTACAGGGACGGAACGCCACGCGCAGATGTGCTAGCACCCGCGCGCGGCTAGGGTTTTGCTCGGGGAGGGAAGTGACGGCTAGGGTTTCTCACGTGATGCAATACCTCCGCCGGTCACATCCCTCACGAATATATAGGATCCATCACTCGGGCCTCCAAGGCCCGTAGGAATCCTATTCGGATCCCTATCCGAATTAAGCTCATATTGGATCTCCATCCAATCCCCTTATTCCGGCCCATTAAGCGTGCGACCCTGTAGGTTCATATATACTCGGTTGTAAACCGAAAACTCCTTTTCGGTCCACGCGTCAACAGCGGCCCCTAGCAGAACGTATTGACCCACCGGGCATACATAAAGATCATATCGGCTGAACCTCTAGTGTATACTTGTATGAACCCCTTTGCCTCACGATATCGATTAAGCTCAAGACTAGATATGTGCCATCCTCTAATAGCTCAATCATTCACTCGAACCTGTTGATAGATTATATAACTTGTGATTGACTCCTCAATCACCTTTGGCATGGCCATGCACTTCCATATTCTACAACATCGAGGGGTCCAGAGATATCTCTCCATAGGAGGGGCAAATCCCATCTTGATTATTTATATCCTACTACATGTTTCATAGCATACCCGAAAACTACTTTTATAACTACCCAATTACGGAGTAGCGTTTAGCAGTCCCTAAGTAAGATACTACACATGTTGGGAATCATGATAATCTCAGGTCTAAGGATTCAACACCAACACTAAATGAGATCACTGATGACACAACACATATGGCTCTTGCAGTGTCTCATGTTGGGTCTATCCAACAACATGTTCACTAACATGTGTCCACATTATTAATTTGGTATCTCTATACCATGATCCATGAGACATGATCATCAATTAATACATGTGCTGATCATCTAAATATATTTGTTCCACATATGATATTTGATCAGAGATCCTTTATAAATAGCAACACATAACATAAAGAGTCTTATGAAAGAATCACATATTCATTAACCAATAATGAGTTATCTATTTCAAGGAACAATGTCGGATAAATATGTAAACATAGTATATGATACAATCATCTCTATAATTGTCTCTAGGGCATATCACTAACACTTCCTTCGTCTGTGTACTTTTTAACACTGGGAACATGGCCGGGTTTATGAGTGGGATGGATCTGGAAGAAAGGTGGAGTTGGGATATGACGCCACATGACAGGTGGGCTAAGACTGAATATAACTTTTTCTTATGCTAGGAGATTTTTTTTTCATTTTATTTAGAAAAAGTTTCTTTGAGCAAAGTTGACTGGTTCGAAAAATTCAAAGGTCTACAATGTTATAAATCATCATGGGTCCTAGCCAAAGCAACTCTATGTTGTTGATTTGTTTGTGTCGATAAGATTATGCTCCCACATGACGCACAGTTGTTATCGAGGTCTGATTTAAAACGTCGATAAGATTATGCTCCCACATGACACACAGTTGTTATCGAGGTCTGATTTAAAACTAGATTACGATGTGAGACACACAGGGTTTGTTGTCTTTTTTTTCAGTGTTTAATTCTAATTCTGTTATATCGGGCCCTCTACTCCCCGTTCGCTCTTTCTGACTAAGGTTTGGCATGCGCCATTTCCCTCCATAATTAGGCGACTACCCTCTCTCTTCTTTTACTTCCTCAACTTCCTCACATTTTCTTTACTTCTCAATCGCATTCGATGCGGCAAAATGACGGTGTATGATTCTAAGGCATTAGAAGGTGCTGCAAGTGAAAATATGTAGATAATTGATGTTGGTAAGAGCCCGCCCTCTAGAACCGCACAGCGCAGCCCAATCAACGGGTGAGCCTGGTTACACACACCACCCCGCATATACTTTCTTCTACGCTTCATGTACTTAAAGAGTTAATCCGAGAGTGATATGGTTAGAGGGAAGATGCCTTATAAATTGGTTCCACCCTTGCTAAATAACAAGTTGGTACTAAACACAAGTACACAGCTCTCATGGATCACACAAGCTAAATTCTAATTGAGTCAGGATATCACAATGTTACATCACTAGATTCATTTCAATATGTAAGAAAGTTTTTCTAGAAAATCTTAGCGAATGTTAAAGGTGGTAGATTAGAAAAATAATCTATTTTTGAGTAAGTTAATGAAAAATATATTTTCTCAGAGGGCTCATATCATGAAAAACAAACCCTAATAATCTAATATTTATATATTTATTATAATTTTGGTTTACATGTCCTAACGCACGTGTATTTTTCTAGCATATAAAAACGATGATCGATCTGTCAAGAATTTAAACAGCAAAACAGCTAACTAATCTCGGATTTGGGTTACCCAAATTGAGTGGCAGTGTATGACACCAAGTCGCTAACAAACGGATCGAACCGTGAACTGATAAAGAAAAGGAATAAGTTCACTTTGACTCCCTTAAAAAGTGACTGAATCTAATCCATGACCCTAAACCGCAAAACCGGATATCTCGACCCCCGAACTATTGAAATCGGTGCAATTTGACTCCCTAGGTGGTTTTGGAGGGCGGTTTCGCTGACATGGCGCTGACATGGCGGTGTTGACCTAGTCTGTGGGGTTGACGTGGCGCTTAGGTGGCATTTGAATTAAAAAGTATCTGTAGGACCCGTTTGTCATTCACACACTAAAAAATTGTGGAGCCCACTGACATGTGGGGCCCCACATGTCATCATCTCTTTCTTCTTCCTCCCTTGTCTCTTCCCTTCTCTCTCTCCCCTTCCACCGGCCGCGGGGAGCACGGGCTGGAGCGGCGACGGGAGCTGAGCTCGCCACTGCCACGGAGGTCGGCGCCGGCGCCGCTGGAGGCGAGATCGACCGGCCATGCAAGTGCGTGAGTCCTGGGCCTGGGAGCCCGACGGGATTGGACCGCCACGGAGCTGCACGTTGGCTGCGGCCCGGGCGCCCTGGCTGAATGCTTCATGCCACAGCTCGTCAGCGTCATGCGCGCAGCCGTCGAGAGGGTCTGCGTCGTGACTCGTGACCCACCAATAAAATCAAAAAAAAAAGAAAATCAGCCATCCAGTGCAAATTCACCACAAAAACACGGTGAAAACCACCTGTTAATTATGAAATCTCCACCGCGATGCAGGAGATGGGAAAGAGCAGGTCTCGGAGTTCTCTTTATATAGGCCGGAGGGGAGGAGGTCGACCGCACGGACGGAAAACGGCGCCGGCGACGGTGGAGCTCCCAATTGAAAACACCGGTTTAAGAAATCGATTGGGGGCAATTTAGTGCGGGATTAAGTGGGATTTGTTGGGGAAATTGATGCCCACTACACAAGGAATTGATTTTTGCAATTAATTTGGAGGAGAAACGATAGGGCAGGGAGATCAACGGAGGCGGCAGTACTTGAGTTTCATGGGAGAGATGAACAGACGACGGACAAAGGTGGAAGAAGCTCCTGGCGAGCGGGGCCCACCTGCCAGCGCATGGACAGCGAATGGAAGAGAAAGAGAGGGGGGAGGATGAGGAGAGGATGATTTATGTGGGCCCCACCTGTCAGTGGTCCCACCCGTACTTTTGGTGAATGACAAATGAGTCCCACACATATTTTTTTTTATTTATAATGCCACTTAAGCGCTACATCAACGCCACGTGGAAAGGAGACCGAGTCAACACTGCCACATAGGCGCCACATCAGCGAAACCGTCCTCCAAAACCGTCGAGGGAGTCAAATTACACTGGTTTTGAGAGTTGGGGGGTCGAGATATCCGGTTTTGTGGTTTAGGGTCACGGAATTTTGAGGGTCACAAAGTGAACTTATTCCTAAAGAAAATACAGAATGAATTATAATCAGGCCGAAAGTACAGCCCAAGGCCGGGCCAGGCCTATATATGTATTCATACTGACCCATGTTTTCGCTGGCCTTAGTCTGACCATCAACAAGACCAAAGCCCAAAGGCCATCCAACAAACTAGTCACCCTGCATCTCTCTCTCTCTCTCTCTCTCTGTGTAACATTTTGATTTTGTTTGAATGCAATTTGATCCCAAAACTAAAATTCTAAACACTAATTAAATTAATGCGTTGCAAGTGGAGCCTAAATAGCTGACGATGGACCCATCAATCAATACTAATAGCACTTCTTTTACTATCTAAAATACTATCGCAACTTTTTTTAAGAAAACTTTCAATTGTAACAGTAAGTATAATTAGAGTATAATTCAAATGCAACTGTGCCGGGTGAGTTTTTTCTTTCTTCGCTCCACACAAATCTCGACAGGATCTGAATTCCCCCCCTTTTTTCCTTCAAAAATCTCACTGCAATCTAACAGTCTATAAGTTACGGACATGTAAAAGTTTTTTTCACCCAAAAAACTTGTAATATTCTTTAGCATTATCATTTCTTTTTGTTACATTCAGATGAGTTAATGCTTTGCCATTTCTCTTGACCTCTTGCCGCCATTTAATCATACAGTAGAGATGTGTAGTTGGATTCTTAGCCCAAAATCCGTCATAAACATCTCATTCCATCCACTAATTATCTTCGTTTTTTCAATTAAGTTATAATGTTATTCGATCGCGATATTTTCACTCGTCTCTCCCAGTACTCATGAGCTACGTCCTACGCTTTCTCCTCTTGTATGCCAACATTTTACTTTATTATTTTCTTAGCTACTACATACTCCATCCTAAAATAATTTAAACCTGACCATGAGAATATGAGTCTGAACAAGGTTCGTAGTTAGGATTTAATGCTTTTTTATGACAGAGGGAGTATATAAATTCAGTAGACAATCCTTAAACTAATTTATTAATTCGTCAAATTCCAGCCGGGTCGAAAAACTCCTATCCAAAACGTAAATGTCTGAAACCACAAACCATTTATTGTTTACCCAAATTAATTTCCACGTGCGTACATAAAATTGTCCATTTCTTCCGCATATAGTGACAGTAACAAAGAACAATAATTAAGCACCAGAAGAACTAATGAACAGTCAATCGATTAAGCATGCAAAAGTTCATATATTGATCATGACCCACACTACTAACTAACTACTTACTTGACACTCTACCTGAAGATTAATTATATATGTTCGTCCAGCTTCAATAAACCTAGCCTGCCGAACACATATTACATATATATAATTATAGCTTGGTCATGAATTAATACAAATGCATGCGCATAAGTAACTAATCAATTAAAGACAACATCACGAGAGTTAATAATTAGTTATCTAAGAACAACCAAGCCTAAGCTCAAGATCCAACCCTTCCTCCATACCACCACCGACTCCAAGCTCCAAATCCACCTCCAAACCCTTCGTCGCCGCCATCGCCGCCGCCGCCGTGGAGAAGAAGCTGTAGACGATGGCCGGACGATCGCCGGGGCAGTAGCACTGCTGCTGCTGCTGCGGCGGCGGCGGCGGCGGCGGCGGTGGCGGCGGCGGCGAGAGGTTGAGGTTGGGAAGGGGATGAGGTCTAGGGTTGGGGAATTGCCTGAGCCTGGCCCTCTCCCTCCTGTGCACGTTCATGTGGCCTCCCAGCGCCTGCGCCGACCTGAACTCCCTCCTGCAGTAGCCGCAGGTGTACGACGACGACGACGACGACGGCGGCGGCGACCTCTGCAGCGGCGGCCATGAGAAGCCGAAGCTGCAGCTCCATGGCCGCTGATGCTGCTGATGAAGGTGGCCATGGCCATGCTCTCTCGCGCTCCTGCTCTCCATTGATTTACTGATCGATTTGTAGTGTGGTTGTACAATGTGTAGAGCTAGCTTGACACTGAGCTGAGCTAGAAGGCCATATATAAGCAACTCAAGAACAGTGCTCACGGAAAACTGAATAGTCCATTAGCGCGTGATTAATCAAATATTAGCTAAATTTATTTTTAAATTTAGATCAATATGAATTTTTTAAGCAACTTTCGTGTAGAAACTTTTTTTTAAAAAAAACACAACGTTTAGCAGTTTGAAAAGCGTGTGCGAGGAAAACGAGAGAGATGAGTTGGGAAACTTGGGGTAAGAACACATTCTAAAGTGCATGACATGTGGGGTCCCAGGCTACATGTATGACAGACATGTGGGCCACTGCATGTCGGTCAGACACACACAAACTATATATATCTGGTTAGTGATTTTCAAAGGGTAGCTAGCTAGTGATGCATGGAAAGGGAGAGAGAGAAGCCATTGAAAGCAGCTGGTTTTTGCCAAGATGTACAAACGGCATGCAATCGATGTGTCGACCAAGATACCGTCAGAGCGATGAGAGCCAATGTGGGGAAGACTATGTGACATGTGTTTGCAACCCCTGCAGAAGCTTTCCCTGCAGGACAAGACACCCGTGGCTATCCAGCCATACATCAGATGCAAGAGATTAACCTGCTGGCTTTAGGGTTAGCATCCATGCATGCAGATGCAGTCACACAGGGCCCACCATTTTTCTGAGCTCTTGCAAAGCTAGTCTTCGTCCTAGGAGACTGCACAGTTGCATATATATTTGGATATGGATTTTCATCTCTCGAGGGGATGTCTTCTCTTTGCATGTCATCAGTTATAAAAAAATTTGACAACATAGATTAATATGAAATATAAAACTCCAAAAACGTGCAAGACCAAATTCAACTTCCACAAGTTGCAACAAAAAGAACAAAATAAACTGAAAATAGTTATCGTACATTCGCAACTATATTTGTTATTTTTGTTACAACTTGTAGAAGTTAAATTTTAACTTATGTGTTATGGAGTGATATATTTCATATTAATCTATCTTACCAATTTTTTTAAAATATTTTGATGACTATTTAGGTGGCATGCACGATACGAGGGGTTATCACTTGAGGGATGAAATCGCTTTCCACACACACAATTTATCTAATTGCAGAGATCTAGCTAGGTTTGCACTGTGATCTGAGCTAGGTTTTTTGCTTGCTTCTGACTCACTCCAGCTAGCTAGCTGCTGGCTGCATCTGCTTATATATATGCATTGTTCAGAGAGGCAAAAGGAGTAGTGATATGTTACCGATGCCCTGAAAGCATACTTGGCCTTACTCCATATATATTTGCATTCAACTTTGGTCAGCATATGTTAGAGTACACTGCTCTTGTGTTCATCTTTCTTCCTTTTTTTTTCTTTTGTTTCACATATGTAATGTATATGTATATTCGAGCTTCATCATTGGTTAGGTGTCATGTCTAGCTGCAAGACATCACATCAGTCAATTTAAGTTGTTCACAGCTGAATTGAATCAATGAATGCATGGAGTGGTTTTCATTTTTTTCTGGGTCAACTCGGTCGAAAGATTGAAGGCCTGCAGGCATGCTATGAGCTCTTACTGGCTTGTCTGACGAGTGAACAAGCCTTTTGGCAGTTTGCACTGCATCCCATTGGCCAGCATGGGGCGGGCAATTCAGGCTTAGGAACACATGATGCTCTTAGAAAGGTGAAGTAATTGTTGCTAAAAGTGTACTAGAGTACTAGCTACAACTGTTCTCCCCAACACAACTATATATGATCCTTGATGGCATGATGTCCCCTGAAAATTGAGATGGTACTATTATCTCTTTTTTTTTACTTGATGTTTACAACAATATAGATACAATCTTCAGTGCATATGTTTGGTCATTCCTTTTTATTATGTATTTACAACAAAAATATTGGATTTTCAGTGCAAATTTTCAGTTCAATAGAATATATTTGATTTTACCATTATATTTGTTACAATTAAATCATTACAATAAGTTCATATTTTGTTATATTTCTGATAAAATATATAAATATGATTATATTGCTAATTAAATTAATTTTATATTATACATAAGATAGCGAATTATAATGGTTGAAACATTAGAAAAATACTTACTGAAACATCCAAACAACAACATGAGCAACATTTATAAATGAATTAATGAAACACTAGAACATATTTACTAAACTATCCAAATAACACCACATGCAACACATGCAAATAAACCAGTGAAACGTTAGAAAATATCTAATGGAACATCTCAGTAACTTTCGATCCGGTGTTTCGGAAAACATCTAATGAAATATATATATATATATATATATATATATATATATATATTTCGAATATAGATAAAGGGTGTGTTCGCTGCAGCCGGCTCCCAATGTACGCACGGAAAACAGAGCGGTCCATTAGCACGTGATTAATTAAGTATTTGCTAATTTTTTTTTCAAAAATGGATTAATTTGATTTTTTTAAGCAACTTTCGTATAGAATTTTTATTTGCAAAAAACACATCGTTTAGCAGTTTGAAAAGCGTGCGCGTGGAAAACGAGAGAGAGGGGTTGGGAAAATGGGCATCTGAACACAGCCAAAGTGTGTGTCGCACAACAATTTTCGTCCGGGATTAAAAATTATTAAATAATGTATTTCTAGAAATTAAATTAAAAGTTAAAGCAATTTAATCAAGTGAATTCATGAGGGAATCAAAATTTTCCTTTAAAAATCGTGGCTGGAAATATTTTTCTAATATTCTCCGTGCTATAGTATACTCTCTGAAATTTCCTGTGAATTTTTGGAGCTCAATATCTAATTTTAACATCACAAAGTTCATTAAATCCATTAAATAAAATAAAAAACAAATTTAAATCTCCATCCTTCACTTTGGGCCGCTTCAGGCCCAAAGCCCTTCCTTCGTCCCTTACGGCGCCCACTCGGCCGTCCTCCTTTCCTTTTCCCCTCCCGCTCGGCCTCCCTCCTATCTACTCCCTTCCCTGCCCAGTTCGCCGCTCGGCTCGCTCCTCTCCTTCCCCGTAAGATATCTCGCCTCCCTCCTCTCCCCCGAGCCACCGACCGTTGGGACCCACCTGTCAGGGTTATCCACTTCCTCCGGCCAAACCTCCATGGCTGCCAGCCTCCACCCCACGTCGCCGCCAAATTCAGTGCCCTCCCGCTCGCGCGCCCGCGTCCAAACAGCTTGGACCGGTCCCCTCCACATCCTCCACCATTTCCCCCACTCTCCCCATGAAGATCACCGCCGGTTTGACCTGATGCGCCCCACATCGTCGCCCCACTTCGCCGGCGATTTCCGCCTCTTTTAGCCTCATGCCGCACCTCCGAGACCTATAATAACCCTCCCCATGCATCCCTATATCAATTTCCCATCTTCCTGAGCTCTCCTGTGCCCCAAAACCATCCCCTCGCCGCAATCCTGAGCTCTGCCACTTGCCGCAAAACTCCGGCCAATCGTTGCCGCTGGTGTAGTCACTGCCGCACCGCGCCGAGGCCGCCTCTGGCTTCGCCGCCCCACGCCACGTACAACCCGTCCACCACCCTACTTCCCCAATCCATTGTCGAAACGCCATCTTCCCTGCAAACCCGAGCTCTACCGCCACTTTGCTGACTCCGGCCGGTCGCTTTCGCCACCCTAGCCACCGCCGCACCGTGCAGCCTCCACCACGCCCCTACGCACCTCAGCCACCGCAACCCTCTCCTCCCCGTCAAGGTGAGGTCCACCCCGTGCTGCCACCATCGGCCGTCGTTTCCGGCCGTTCCACACCCGTTTTACCCTCCCTAATCCCTCCATCTCCCTCCCGAGGCCGTCCTGCTCCTCAGCTGCCCCTCCGCCATCGCCGGCAGCCGCCGGAATGCCTTCCGCGCCATCGTCCCACGGGTTCCGTCGCCATATCCCTGCCACGGAGTTCCCCGTGGCTCCACTCGCAGCCGTCGGGCACTTGGTGAGTACCCCCTCCTCCTCCTCTCACGGTTACCCTCTCCTGCGCCTCCTTCCGCGCCGCCCGGTGGTAACCGGCGGTGACCCCAGGCCACGCGCAGCCAGTTCGTCGCCGCTGTCTGCTCGCCACCCTCTGCCTTGGCCGCCCGATTGGTCGCCCTGACCAATCCGGGCCGTCCATGAGGTGGACGTGCGCCCGGGCCACATGTGGACCTGGTTCGCCGTGCGCTCTCCCATTGTGCCGCTGACGTGCGAGGCCCGCGTGTCGGCTCGACCTCTCCTTGATGACATCAGCAGTCCCCTTTTTCTTTTGTAAAAATAATTAATAATTGCACAACAATTTGTATTTAATTCCAAAAATTGATTTAAATGGCTCAAAACTTCTAAAAGTCATATCTAATTCATACGTACTCCAAATTATGCCACTCAACTTGTAAAAGTCATCTAAAATTGACTTCTACATGATTGTTTACTTTTCATGAACTGTTTATTTGGTTTCGCGTGCCAGCGCGTAGATTCCGTCGTTTTGGAAGATCGCGATGTTGAGGAAAGTGTTTGAATGATCGGTTGAAGAAGCAAGGCAAGTCAAACATTCCCCTTGAGCATATTAAGCCTACTTTATAAATGTTTTACTGTTTGCAAATAAAATTGCATGTTTTGCTAATTTCGTGGGAATAGGTTTTACCTATCTGCTTGCTTGTGCCATGTTTAATTCATAACCATCCTTTGTCAAACTTAGGTGATAATTTTACTAGCTCGTGTCACTTATGTTGATCTTGCTTGGATTATATATGCTTAGCCATGCTTAATTACCACTAGCTCACTTAATGGGATAATCACATTATTTACATATAGTGTCTTGTTGAGCTGCGAGCTCGACACATTGGACCGTTGTTTAATGGTCGTGAGTAATCCAATAAAAATATGTCTTAATGGTGGGTTGTGGGTGCATGGTTTTGCTAGTCGTATCCATGGCAGTTAAGGACTAGTTCGCGAGAAACCCTTGGAAGACTTACCGCACTTACCACAAGCAAGAATGAGCAACTGCTGGACTTGTAGTGT